TCATAATTATGTCCATTTCAAGTTAAAAGAAAATGATAGAGGTCTTGAAATTATTTTTAATAAACCACCATAAGCAAAAATAAATATTGCTGTCTTCAATCAATTGAGGAGCAGTTTTTTTTATATAATTTTGCACAATAATATCTTACTTATAAACGCCACCCATTCAGTGACATTCTGAATATCTTCAAGCCAAGTGCTTCTTGACACAACATGACTGGAAACTTCCTCCAGTCTCTGATTTTAAGAGCATCATGTTCAAAATTAGGAGCTCACATTTGACAGGTGGTAGTTTTGCAGTGCTCAAAAGTGAATCTGTAATTAGTTCATCAACACTGAAAAGTCATTAAATGTTTTCAGAGTTTAAAAAAAGCTGGAGGCGGTAGATGAAGAGTTCTCTTAACGTCAATCTGATACTCTTTAGTAGTCTTTGGACAGAATGTAGCTTGTCAGCTACAGACAACATGACCACTATCATTACAAACAAGTACCACTGATCTCAAGACACATGCAATGCTTGACACAACTGAAAAAAAAAAACCTCAGTCCAAGCCAATTTATTGAATTTGTGTGAGACACACACTGTTGCCAAGGCTTTGCTCTAAATTTAACCCGATGAGCAGGAAAAGCACTCCAGATAAATCTTGTAAAAAATGTAAGACCTTGTGGGTGCGTGTGTGTTTTACCAAATCAGCAAGTGAAATCTTGAAAGTAGAAAGGCTTCAATCTCTTTGTTTTCATCTCTGAGTCTATTGTTGGGGCACAAGTATTCCCTTTATTGTAAATTAAGTTAGATGATATAAAAAACTAAAAAACGCTCATATTAAGAAGTAGTTAACATTGTAAAAGCATATTTTAAGATAACGGTGACTTGTAAAGGTTTTCATGGCTGGTTAAACATAAAACCTGATATTTTATTTTTAAAGTTATTGTATTCTTGTTCTTTGCATCAGGCAATAAGCTAAAAAGGTCTGGGGTCGATTCTAAGTGTAGCATTGTGAAAGCTGTTGCTATGAAACAAGATGTGGTGAAAGGAGAGCAGGTGAAACAGACAAAACAGATCCATGAAGCAGAAGGCACGAACATTAGGTCTTACATGTCTTAAAAAAGAATAACACAACGGTAAGCAACTGTGGTCACAAGATGTTTGAGTTGTAACGGAACACCATCTTCAAACATCAAGCCGAGAGAAGCAGTCTGCCATAAAGAGAAAACTTTATAAAAGGACGTTACTTTGGACAATTAAATGGTTAAATAAAAAAGATTTAGTCTCAGGTGTGAAACTTTTATAATGCTGTGTCRACACCTCAAGATAATCGTGCCAATTTTTAGCCTAAATGCAGACGAAATCACCATGGAGCACCAGAAAGGCTGGTGGAGGTTGGAAAAACGTGTAAAAATAATTTTATTTATTTATAAAGTTTATTCATTAAAAAAAACATAAATTCAGTAAAATACAAATCAAACTAAATAAAAGGTAGCAGAAGAAAAATATGATTTCTGCTCCCTMTTCTCAAATAAATAAATTCAAGCGAAAATAATCTTCAATTTACAAAAACGTAAATAATAATATAATAATAATCCACAGATTATTCCCATTTCTTCTTCCTCAGCTGCCACATTTCTTTACTCTGAACTCTAATTTTCACAAGATTTTCAAAAGAGGCTTATTGAAGACATTCTGCAAAAAGTAATGATGGGACAATCTAAACTAAAATATTGAAAATATTTTCGCATCTTTTGATACTAAACCTGCATTTGGTGGTGAAGAAAATCAAAGCAAAGAGGTTTAAGAGTTGATGACGAGCTTCTATGCTGAAGCACACATTTCAGATTCTTCGTGTGAAGCCGGTGACGCGCGTCGGTCGGACCTGAAAATTGAAGTCTGCAGCAAAGCCTCTGGCTGCGCCATCCAGGCTTCTGAAATATCAATTTAGGCCACATCTGGAGTCGGAGCTTTGGCAGCATGAACCAGCATTCAGGYGCTGCACATTACTGACCAGGAAGGAATTAAGCATCTGCACTGCACAGACACAAGGTCCACACGCTGACTAAAACCTTGGGTGTCACAATCAGACGTTTTCAGTCTCATTACATCAAACCCAAGGCTGAGCTGGGCAGTGATTACATGTCAGAGCCATGATGAACGCAGACACCTTCACCTTCTAATCGATTGCATCAAATCACTTTCAAGAGCAGCAAACTTATCAAGAAAAAAGTCATAATAGCCAAGAAGAAAATCCCAGAGTAAATTCATCTGAGTATATTTTAGCAATATTCCTATTTCAAGGCCAATGAATTCTTAAAATAAATAAAGATGGTTTTTTGGGAACTCAATGGTGCCCCGACACCTAATGGCACCCCCCAGGACGGCACGCCCTTGGGAAGAATTGTCTCAATGGTTTCATGACCCATGTAAGMGTTGTTTAAAAGTGTGTTACATAAATAAGGTCAAGATGTCTGTAAATAAATTGTTATTGTATTTAAGTTCAGTACATACTGAAACAAATGTGTTCTGTCACTTTAAGATGATGTAACTCTCAAGTAATGAAATCTCACGTGAACTTGATATAATCTCATGAGATCTTGCAACATGTGGCAGATGTGTGGTGTGTGAGCAGAGAGGACAGAGCCTACTGCAGTAAAAGTTGAGCTAGATGACGTTTAAAGCTGAAATTTGGTGAAGTGACTTCTAAAGACTGAAGAACCTCTTTTCATAACAAGCAGCCAACGAGGTATTCGTTATATTTGCTTTATTATTTTAAACTTTTGTCATAGGTAAATTTGATTTCTACACTATTTGCTCTCATGTTATGTAGTAGTTTTACATTTGTATTCTGTGGATTTTATTTCATGCCTTGCCAGTTCTTACGGCGTTTGGTGTTGGCATACAAGTTTGAAGTTTTGTTTCATGGTGTCAAGATGTGAAGCTGAAAGGGTGTCATGCTGAATCTTCATGAAGACATGCCTGCAATAAATGCCCATTGTAAAGAATCGCCCTGTGTCTGTGACGTTGTGAAGAGAGCTGCAACCCAGCTTTTTTGTTTAAGCAGAAACAAAACAGAAAAACAAGTATCCAA